AATTCGATTTCGATTATAGTAATTTAACTTCCATTGGACTAATTCAACTTCGATTTTAGTATAATTGACTTTGATTGTACTAATTTGACTTCGATTATAGTAATTTGACTTCGATTGTACTAATTTGACTTTGATTGTACTAATTTGACTTCGAGTGTACTAATTCGACTTCGATTGGACTAGAATGACTTCGATTGTACTAATTTGACTTTGATTGGACTAATTTGACTTCGATTGTACTAATTTGATTTCGATTGGACTAATTCGAGTTTGATTGGACTAATTTGATTTTGATTATAGTAATTTGACTTTGATTATAGTAATTTGACTTCGATTGGACTAATTCTAGTTCGATTACACTATAACTAACTGTGATTGGACTAATTTGAAATTATACTAATTTGACTTCGATTTGAGTAATTCGAGTTCGATTGGACTAATTTGACTTCGATTGGACTAATTTGATTTCGATTGTATTAATTTGACTTCGATTGTACTAATTTGACTTCGATTGGACTAATTCAATTTCGATTATAGTAATTTACTTCGATTGGACTAAATCGACTTCGATTTTCGTATAATTGACTTTGATTGTACTAATTTGACTTCGATTATAGTAATTTGATTTCGATTATACTAATTTTAATTAGACTAATTTGACTTCGATTATACTAATTTGACTTTGGTTGTACTAATTCGACTTCGATTGGACTAGAATAACTTCGACTGTACTAATTTGAATTCGATTGTACTAATTTGACTTCGATTGTACTAATTTGACTTCGATTGTACTAATTTGATTTCGATTGTACTAATTCGAGTTTGATTGGACTAATTTGACTTCGATTGGACTAATTTGATTTCGATTATACTAATTTGACTTCGATTATAGTAATTTTACTTCGAATGGACTAATTCGAGTTCGATTACACTATAATTGACTGTGATTTAACTAATTCGAGTTCGATTGGACTAATTTGATTTTGATTGTACTAATTTGACTTCGATTGTAGTAATTTGACTTCGATTGTACTAATTTAACTTCGATTGGACTAGAATGACTTCGATTGTACTAATTTGACTTCGATTGTACTAATTTGACTTCAATTTGACTAATTTGACTTTGATTGTACTAATTTGATTCTGATTGTACTAATTTGACTTCGATTGGACTAATATGATTTCGATTGTACTAATTTGACTTCGATTATAGTAATTTGACTTTGATTGGACTAATTCTAGTTCAATTACACTATAATTGACCGTGATTGGATTAATTCGAGTTCGATTATACTAATTTGACTTTGATTGGACTAACTCCAGTTCGATTGCAGCATAATTGACCGTGATTGTACCAATTACGGTCAATTATAGTGTAATAGAACTCAAATTAGTCCAATTAAACTCAAATTAGTACAATTTTGCTAGTTTTTTTGTTTTTCTTTTTGTTTTCCCCTGTTTTAGGTCGGAAGCCCCGTAATAGATATTTTCAGCCAAAAAATTTGTCGTAAAATCATGCTAAAGTAGTAGGATTCGTTAGCGACATGTAGGAAGAATCGAAACTCAATTTCGAGTTTGGACAAGTCGTGCAAGAAAGCCGCAAATTTCAGGTCAAGAGCTTTGAGATAATAGGTTTTAAGGAATAAGTTGGATTTGAAAGCATAATTACATAGAAGGCTTCGTTGGCGACATGTAGGAAAAAACGAAATTCAAATTCGAGTTCGGACGAGCCCAAACGAGCCTGAATTTTGCTAGTTTTTTTCTTTATTTATTCTTTTCCCCCGTTTTAAGCCAGAAGCCCCGCAAGGAATAGTTACAGCCATAAAATTGGTCAGAAAAGCATTCTCTAGTAGTATGATTCGTTGGCGACATGTAGGAAGAATTGAAACTCAATTTCGAGTTCGAAAGAGTCCTAACGGTCCCGATATGCGAAGTCGTGCAAGAAAGCCGTCAACTTCAGGTCAAGAGCTTTGAGATAATATGTTTTAAGGAATAAGTTGGATTTGAAAGTATAATTACATAGAAGGCTTCGTTGGCGACATGTAGAAAAAAACAGAATTCAAATTCGAGTTCGGACGAGCCCAAACGAGCCTGAATTTTGCTAGTTTTTTTCTTTATTTATTATTTTCCCCCGTTTTAGGCCGGAAGCCCCGCAAGGAATAGTTACAGCCATAAAATTGGTCAAGAAATTCATTCTCTAGTAGTAGGATTCGTTGGCGACATGTAGGAAGAATTGAAACTCAATTTCGAGTTTGAACGAGTCCTAACGGTCCTGATATGCGAAGTCGTGCAAGAAAACCGCCAACTTCAGGTCAAGAGCTTTGGGATATTAGGTTTTCATGAATAGGTTGGATTTGAAAGCATAATTATACATAAGGCTTTGTTGGCGACATGTACGAAAAAAAACAGAATTCAATTCGAGTTCGGACGAGCCCAAACGAGCCCGAATTTTGCTAGTTTTCTTCGTTTTATTTATTCTTTTTCC